GAGGCAGGTGGATTTCTGTGAGTTCAAGGCCAGCCTGGTCTACATAGTGAGTTCCAGGACAGCTGGGGCTACAGGGAGATCCTGTCTCTCAAAAAAAAAAAAAGTGCTCCAGGCCCTAGGGTAACGATTTATCTTCCTGGTTTTCTGCTGCCATTCCAAGCCTTCACCAACTATAAAATGGGTCCACACTATAGTTCCTGAGGCTCTGTATCACTGTCCACTTTTTGCATGGCATCTTCAAAACAGAGCAAAAGGAAATCTATGTTGTCTAAAGCATCTTCTATAGCTAGCTCCAGGCCAGTCAGAGCATATACATCAAATTCCCATCTTAAAACAACAAAACGTCTTTTCTTTTGTTTTGTTTCTTGAGACAGGGTCTCCTGTTGCTGGCCTTGACTTTGCTATGTAGCTGAGGCTTCCCCTATCTCTTGCTTCCCCTATCTCTGCTTTTCAAGTGCTAAGATTATAGGCTTGCACTACCATGCCTAGCAAAAAAAAATTTAAAGGGCCCTCTAAAACAAGAGTAGGTGTGGGGTTGGGAAGGCTGGAATCTTCCAGAAGACCTGGGACTACCAGCTCAGCCCTCAGACCCCAACCCCCAACAAGTCAAGGTCTCTGCAGGAGTGGTCACTGTTTAACAGGGGGCAGCAATTCAGGAAATGGTCTGGCCTCCCTAGTCCTGGGTGCTATTTGATTATCAGACACAACTGTACAGGATTGAAGGGTCTGCAGGGCATTAGAAAGCAAAATAGGGACTAGGAGCCTCAGACTGCGGGCTATGAGGCCGCTCATCACCTGCCCCATCACCACATCCTTCATAAAAGCCTTGGCAAGTATGTTTCAGAGGCATTGGTGATATAACACAGTCAGCCTTCAGTGGCCTGCACATGGGCACTGAAAAGAAAAGTAGGAAAACACAACCTAATTTCTGATGCTTCTGAAACATACAGGTGAGACCACGGGACCCTGAAGTAGCAACTCAGACAGGACCAAAGCTCACTTCCCCAGGGACCGGCCGGTCCACAGGAGGATGGCAAAAAGCCACTATCTTTTCAGAACTGGGGACACCAACCCCACCTGAAAGTAAGACAAGCTCTCCTTTCAGCTACACCCACCAACACTGAGCACACGGATTCCACAGCAGAGATGGTGGCTAATTCACACTGCTCCTACTTCCTGGAAGAGGACCAAGGGGTCCTCAGTACTCCCCCATCCCAGCAAGTCCCTCAGCCATAACGGTTTCTGCTGCAGGAGACACCAGCGAGGACCCTGGAGTCCTCTTGAGTTGCTCATCAGATTTCCAGGCTGCATTCATTCATTCAACAAGCATTTGTTGATGCCAGGCAAAGTGCTAGACATGGCAGGGCCCAATCACGTGCCCAAACAGCTCACTGTCTGTTAAGGAGAAGGAAACTGAAATTACACTTACCCAGTGCCTGCCACACTTCAGGCATAGTGGGAAGGGGATAAAGTGAGACTTAAGAGTTCTGAGTTAGGATTCAACATTCCTACTTTACAGACAAGGATGCGGAGGCTCAGAAAGGCCAAGGTCACCCTATCAGGAGTTTAAGTGCCCAGATTTCTTCTACCACATCACCCTGCCTCTCAGGGAGGGGAGATAAGGCAAACCCAGAAATAACCATAACTCAACGAAGAAAGATTCTGCTCAAAGATAGTATTAGATATAAAAAGAAATATGGGCACCTAGCTTCTGGCTAGAGGCAGGAATGGTTGAAGGTGATCTTGTGGAAGAACTTGGGGAAACCTGGGAAGGTGGGAGAAGGGGTCTTCCATGCAGACAGAATGGATGAACAGAACCAAAGTGCTTTGAAGGCTAGGAGTGTGGAAGCCACGTGGGCCCTGCAGTGAGCTACCACAAAACTGCAGAGGAGAACTTACACAACCATCCACACAGCAGGCTGGAGGAAGAACAGTATGCACACAGCCCACCAGGCAGGAAGCACCTGGGGTCAGGTGATGAGGGATGATAACAGTGACAACTTCAGAGATAGGGCATAGGGAAAGATGTCCAAGCAGAAGCTATTGATATTTGTGAATCACCAATTGTAGGCCAGGGAATTTGCTATAATGACATTTAGCATATATCTCATGCTAAATTCTCAAAGCAGAAAAATCACACCTGCACCCACAGAGACAGAAGTTTCCCGGGTAAGTCTGGCCATGGTCATACAGCATCTGTCACTGGGCTTGATCCTTCCTCTGACCAGGCCCAAAGCCTTCAGGCTAAACTGCCTGAAGGACTTACTGCTTGAGGCACCACAGCCAAAGAAGAGGCAGTAAGACAGGAATAAGCTCCTCTCCCCTGAAATGTGAGCACAAGGTTTAAAGGCAATGCTATTAGAGGAAAAGGCTATGACTCTGGCAGGGAAGTTAGAGCCTCTACAATAATGGGCAGGCAGCCCCTTAAGTTTAGAAGCCACAGCATCAGACCTGCACGATCCTTCCCTCCACGCAGAGCACTGAGGCATGCCTAGTGCCGGGGTCTTCTCTCTTTTTCACACCTCTCAGGGCAAGAGCATCTTTGCCCAAATAAGAATTATCAGCAGCCATATAGTCAACCCCACTAGAATTGGATAAAATTAACTTGCAAAAGACAGCATGCTATAACTAGCTTTGAGTTCCAACCTTTCTATATCTATTTAATTAAAGGCTCCTGTATAATGTGAACCCAATAGTCAGATTCATTAGACAGCGAGAACCTAATTCCACAACTGTTTTTGCTAATGAAACTGCAGTCTGCTTTGGAAGGTAGATCGCACAGGGCATGGGTACCAGTGATGCCCCGGAAACCTCAGGGGAGAACATGAGGATCAGTTCTTTTGATAAGCACACCCTCAGGGTGGCTATTCTGCTCCATGAAACTGAAAGGAGGAGCCAAGGGACAAGGTGGACCAAGGCCCTGGCTGGCAATGGGGACATCAAGACCACACCTGACTCTGAGTTGGGAGTGAAGGCAAAAGGAAGTAGTTGCCTGAGCCTCCGTGGGGTGGGCTTAGGAGGCCTCGCCTACCTGAATGAGCCAGTAAGTGCATTCTCAGTCGCAAACTATCCAGGAACCGCTTTCCGCAGAGCTCACACCCGTACGTCTTCATCCCACTGTGTAGCTTCCTGTAGGGGAAAGGAGAAGACAGGTTGCTGCTGCTCTGTCTAGACAGAAGGCAGGCCCACCCCTACCCAAGGGCTTTGCAGCAATCCCCCTGACAGATGACAGGAAGGTGGCAGCTCAGGGGATGACACTGATAAAGACTGTCATCCCACCCCTGATCCTCAGACAGTCTCCATGCCCCCCATGCCCATGGACTGCTGTACCCACTCTTAATCTTGCTCCTAGAAGAACAGGTCACTTCTCCTCACTTTGCACACTGGCAGACCCAAGAGAAGTCAGCCTGATTTCAGAGACAGGAAGGATGCAACATCCAAGACGCCAGACAGACATTCGGCTCACTGTCCACCTAGCACAGATCCTGAAAAGCCTCTGCTTACCTCAGGGTAACACTGCCCTCACTGCGCTACACTGTGCCTATGCCTGGTTCCCTATCACCCACTAGACTCAGGAGGGCTGCCTTTGTGCCTATTGTTCTCCCATCTCCAATGCCCAGGAATTGGCACGGACTGGCACTGACGAGGTTCCAAATAAGCATAGGAAGGAACTGATTCTATGAATATGGATGTTTCTCTCTCAGCATCCAGATGTTCTTAGAGTAGGTATGACCCCCCCATGCCCCTCCCCCACCCCCTTAACCTTCCTCTAAGGCCCAGCTTTACAGGCATCTTCCCTGTGTGTCCAGCTCTTGCAGACAGAAGGCTGGTGAGAAAACAGGCAGCTGAGATCTAGAATGTAAGGGATAGTAGTTGTTCTTTAGCTTTTCAAGATACTTTCATACAATTACCTCATTTGCCACCACTAAGGGTCTAAGAGGTAGGATAGGCCACATTATCACCTTGCCAACAAATAGTCACACTCCCTTGCATCCTAACTCCCTGCTGGGGCCTCTCTGGCCAGATCCTTTGCAATGTAGCTGTTAAGATACAAGGAACCCAGGGAATTAGCAAGCAGGGAGCTGAGCACTGTGGAGAGGTTCTGAGCAGCCTAGACTGGCTCACCTAGGGCTGACTTTTCTTTCACCTACACTCCTGCACTCATGGCCACTGCTGGATCCAGGATCTAGCCATCAACTCTGCCCCAGTCTCTGTGACTTCTCTGCCATGTCCCCTAAGGACCAAGGCAGGCAGGGGCAACCAGGATCTGTGGGTAAAAGGGCAAGACCGGAAAACACAGTGCTCATGGAGAGACAAAAGACCACTCCTCAGAATGCTGAGGCGTTAAGACCATAGAGAAGCACCATGGAGCTGGTGCTGCCCGTACTAGAGAAAACTGGATCTTATGTGCTCAGACTGGCAGCATTCATATCACAACAAGGACATCCAGCCACCCACCACTACCAACTTCCAGATCTCAGCAATGTATTAAACCATTTGCTGCCCCCTGGAGACTTCCATAGCATTTCTGACTTTGGGCCACCATGGTGTGAGAGTGTCCAAAGCAATACGTGCAGCCTTCAGACAGGGATCATGTACAGTTCTCTTTGCAGAACTCTTTCTCAATCACGTTGTTCTGTTTTCTGCTTTCCTTTTCCCCCTTGCCAAAGACAAATGATTTCCCAAGCACAAGCACATAAACACGCATGCTCATCCACAACACTGTAGGGTGCCCCACCCCCAGCGTTATCTCACTCTTGGCAGCAGCTGATCTATCCAAATTGAGAAAGAGTACAGAACATTTTAACTGAACATTCTTTACTCTGATTATATTTCACAATGTCAGGGCACTGGGGCATGTCCTAATAGTGTTTGGGGGCAAAGTATGTTTTTAAATAGGTGCCCAGGTATGTCAGAGTATGTGTGAGAAAGAGAGAGAGAGAGAGAGAGAGAGAGAGAGAGAGAGAGAGAGAGAGAGAGAGAGGTGGAACACTCCTGTCCCTCATGCAGGCATGACGAATGTTTGCTTTTCTAAGAGATGTTCTACAGAGAGGCAAAGACTCTTGGAGTGGATTGTCAGGCGCAGCTCTAGTGGATGCCAAGGGACAGGGTCCAGTTGACTGTGACCCTTATTGCTGTGATTTGTTACGTTTCCAAGGGTATCCACTCCTGGGGAAACAGGAAGATGACATCCATTTGGATAAGATTTCTAAAACGACTCTGGAATAAACAGCCAGTCTTCAGATTTGAGGACCATGCCCAGGCTAAACTCCCTTCTTGAGCTCCCTTCTCTCCTTTCTTAGTGTTCCAGAAAGTTCTCACCCTGATGAATACGCTTAAGTAATACCATTGCCTTTTCCCTGAATAAGAGTAGATTTGCTTAGCAACTGTTGGAAGTGACTTTTCTTCCAGTTGCCAACCAGATTGGCTCAGTGTGAAAGGTGATGGATGCCCGCCCTATTCCTGTAGAGGTAGCAGGGCACAGGGAAACACTCCCAGAAAGCAGCCACAGATCCAGACCCTCACCCTGACTGGTTTTAAGACCTTGAACAAGTCATGTTGACATAACTCTGCCATCTTCTTTTCAAGACAGGTTCTCACTATGTAACCCTAGCTGGCCTGGAACTGCCTGTGTAGACCAGGCTGGCCTCTAACTCACAGAGGTTCACCTGCTCCTGCCTCCTGAGTGCTGGGATTAAAAGCCTATGCTACCATAGCAAGCAATCCAACTCTTTCTTACTTGTAAAATGACATAAGATCATGCCTATCTAAAGTTTTAGGCGGAGCTAAGTTTTACTATTCAAAATTCTTGCTCGTATTCTTTTTACTTAGCCTCCAAAGAGTTCCTGTAAGGGACACCGTTATTTTCCCTGGTCTATGAATTGTCATTGTCTACTGTGATATTCTGTGACACCCAGGCCATCGAGCTATGATACTGCAAACAAAACCCTAGATCCAATCCAGCAATATCTGTTCATTTTAAAACCTAATCTAACCTGGGTTTCCTCTTTATCTTTCAGTGAAAGAAACTTTCAGAAATCATGAGGAGCCTTTCCTCAGAACCACTTCGTCACCATGAGTTTTCTAGTCTTTGGTGATAGAAGTGTCCTCTATTACCCAATTCTCAGGAGAAGGACACTGCCCTGAAACTGACCTACTAACTCAGTGCCCTGCACAGGTTCCCAGAGACCAGTATGGTACCCATGTGAGTCCACAAGTAGCAAGGACAAAGGTCACACCCAACTGGCCAAGGGAACCAGGCAAAGTACGCAAAGTTCAGAAGGGAAAAGGAGGCAACATCACAGGCTTGCCCGAATGTTCAGTGAAGCCCATGGAAGTTTGTTCTTTTTTTTTCTTAATTCTTGTTCACACAGCAAGGAAGTAAATATGGAGTGGAGGTTCTCCCAGTTCTAAGGAAAAGCAAATACAGAGAAGGAATGAGTGCATTCCACAGACCCAGCAGCCAGCAGATTCTGCAACACAGTTTTCAGAAAAACTACTGTGGAAACAGAATCCCAACTGGAACCGAAGGACAATTTTATGAAGCCAGTTGTCACTTCTCTTTGGACCATAGCTTCCCACCACCACCACGACTCCGCAGAGATTTAGATCAAAATGCCAATTCTCTCCACCTCCCGTATCACCACATTCAATACATCTTCCTAGTCTGGTCCTGTCCTTTCACAAGGTCTAACTTCTTACTTCGTATTTTTCTGTGTGCTGTCTCAGTTGACCATGAAGATCTCCCACTGTTCTCCAAAAGAAAGCCATGCTTCTGGCTGCCATTTTAAAAGTAATCTGGTTCTAGTTGGTTCAGTCCACTCTATCCTATATTCAGTAGAGATTATGCTTTGATAAGGAATGGCCTTAAGTTCTGCCCCACCCATAATGGTGGTCCATATCAGACAATACCTGGCCCAACAGTTAAGTTCACCTTGCATGATGTTCACTGGTATCCAAAAAGATAAAAAGAACCAACCCCTGTACTGGATGGCTCAGGTGTCAACCACTGTCTAGGAAGAGGCTCCTCAACTGCGATATCGCCTTCAGCAAACTGACCTGTGACTATATCTGTGAGGCATTTCCTTGATTGATAGTTGATGTGGGAAGATCCAGCCCACTGTGGGAAGTGCCACCCTGGGCAGGCAGGTGGTCCTAGGTTGTATAAAGAAGCAGGCTGAGCACAGACCAGAGGAGCAAGCCGGTAAGCAGCATCCTCCATGGTCTGTGCTTCAGCTCCCGCCACCATCCAGGTTCCTGTCCTGAGCTCCTGCCATGGTTTCCCTCTGTGATCAGGATGTATAAGGCAAATAAACCTCTTCTTTTTCAAGTTGGTTTTGGTCAGAGTGTTTTATCACAGCAATACATTGTTAACCAGGACAGCCCCTAACACAGTTTCTACATATATTCTCAAGAAAGATGAATCATTGTAAGAAAGTAAATATAAGCAAATTTGACACTCTTAGCAACATAAAAGAAGGACCTAGTTCTTCCTGCCAGTTCTCAATCATGCAACTCTCACTACTGAAACCACCATGGCAAGTTCTTCATTGGAACCATGTCTGCACTCATTGAATCTGAAACTCATAAAGAGTCTGTCTGGTTTGGGCTCTGATTTCTTCAATGACATAAGCCCTAGCTATCTTCCCTTTGTTTCATAAGGCCTAGTTTAAAAGGGATTGTTCAAGGTTGAAGAAACCCTTCTGGGTAAAGCAAGGTATAGAGCATTCCTCTGCTTGTCCTATAATATTTCAAGTACACCAGCTTCGTGGGCAACCTCTGGTCTAGATTCAGACCCTGTCTTGTGGCTCTTGTAGTTCATATTAGGAAGGGCCAAAGGCAACGTCTTGACAACATGAAGGCTGAGTTTCAGACTATATACCTTTAAGCTAAGCCTTCATCAACCCAGCCCCGCTGGGGCAGCAGCAGGAGCTTAAGTTACAGAAAGACCCCTTCTATCTTCCCTACCTCAGTCCCTAGAGACAGCTAGTACTATTAGCTACTCCCTGCCCTCTACAGAGCAGTCCACTTCCATCCACTCAGCCACAAGGACCAAGGAGACAAGGTGAGAAGATGGGCTCATTGTCTAAGTACCAAAAGGAACAGGCCAGCAGCATTGACTGCCGGAG